GCCCCCTGCGTTGGGAGCTTGAAGTCTTGGCCACTGGACCACCAGGGAAGCCCTAAAGAAAGCTTTTACTCCTCACACCCTCCCCGCACCCTTTAATTTTAGTTTGTGTTTGCAAACCTTGTAAAGGCTGAAATCTCTTTGGTTATGAGAAAGAGGTGGCTGTGCTTACATTACGAATTACACGTATTCAGAGTTCCCCTTGCTCTCTCCTGGTGGTTGATTCTGAAAATGGCACAGTGACATTTGGCTGGATAATCCTCTGTTGTGGGGAGCAGCCCTGCGCAGTGTGGGATTTAGCAGCATCCCTGGCCTCTTCCCACTAAGTGCAGGGAACCCGCTGGCCCCCAGTGGTGACAACCGACATGTCCACAGACGCTGTCACGTGTCCCTCGGGGCTCAGAATCCCTCCTGGCTGAGAAGGGAACCCGCCGGCCCCCAGTGGTGACAACCAAAATGTCCACAGACACTGTTAAGTGTCTCTCGGGGCTCAGAATCGCTCTTGGCTGAGAACCCTTAAAGCAGACCTGCCGACTGTAGTTTCTCATGGGTTAACCACAGGTAGGCTGCCACCAGACTGGACACCGTTTCTCTGAATCCTGGAAAGCTGCTCTTTATTCCAATGGCTATTGCTTCAGTTCCCCTATCCTGGAGATCTTGCTGTCGTCCAGCCCGGAGGAGTCATGCCAGGATAAGCTGAGATAGAACACATGCTGTATTTCTGAATCCAGGGGACTTGTTCTTAATGGATCTGCCTCTTAATGAACTTTGATAAACTTGCTAAAAAACGGAATGTGAAATCTAGGCCAACACACACTTGATATGAGACCCTCTGCTCCGTCTTGGTTTTCCACGGGACAGGCAGGTCCTCTTAGATTGGATTCACTTTGTAATAAGACAGAAAGTTTGGCTGTGTTCTAGGTATCAATGCATGATGGTTTTAGTTTTTATTGTTTCTTAATTTTCGATGAAAGAGTTGACTGTAGCGTTGTCAGGTGTGGCTGGTAAATAGCTTCCATGTTTGTGCACAGCATGGTGCTGTGTTGATGCAGCCCAGAGGTTGCTTACTCAGGCTCATGCGTGTAGTAAGTGATAGAATTGAAATCTGAACTCAAGCTTTTCTGGTTGACTCCAAAGCCATGCTTTTCCCTCTGTCCCAGCGCCTCTCAAAGTACGGTGTGCCTAGGACTCAGTCTGGAGAGCTTGTTAAAATGCAGGTCCTGGCTTGGTAAGTTTAGGAAGGCTGGCAATTCTGCCTAACGGCGTCCCAGGTGATGCCCATGTTGTTGACCTTGGAATCACACTTTGAGTACTAGAGCTCTGTGCTGTGTTCCTGGATTTTTTTTTTTCCTTTTCTTTTTGGTTCTGCTGGGTCTTCGTTGCTACTTGTGGGCTTTCTGTAGTTACAGTGAGTGGGAGCTACTCTTCCTTGTGATGTGAGAGCTTCTCATTGTGGGGGCTTCTCTTGTAGAGCACAGACTCCAGGGGTATGGCCTTCACTAGCTGTTGCTTGCAGGCTCTAGAACACAGGCTCAGCAGTTGTAGTGCATGGGCTTAGTTGCTCTGTGGCACGTGGGGTCTTCCCGGACCAGGGATCAAACTCATGTCCCCTGCATTGGCAGGCGGATTCTTACCCACTGCACCACCAGGGAAGCCCCTGAATTGTTAATTGTGGTATAGATAATCCTCCTGGTGATTAACCCACAAAATTGGTAACCTACAATTGAACATTCAGTAGTTGGATGTTTTATTGATTGTTTTCTTCATTTTAAGCAATGTGTATTCCCTGGTAGAATTGAGGGAAAGCTCTGTTCCCCTGAACTGGCAGCATTGCTGTTCTGTGTTGAGTGAATGCTGGGTGTGCTTGGAAAGTAACGTGAAAGATCCCAGGGTAGTTTGTGGGGACGAGCGTTATAGTGCACAGCTGCCGAGGTCCACTGACCTAGGGTGGACGTTATTTTACATTTGCACACCTCTGAAATTGGGTGTGTCTTAAGCTACAGATGGCATTTTACTGTCACTGGATGTTGGCAGTTGACTTCTGCTACTGCTGGCTGCCTTCCCCCTCCCTGGGGGTTGAGCTGGGCGGCCCCCACAGTGAGCATCTGGCCACCTCACCGGCTTGTTCCTCTTTTTCCTGACCCGGGCTTCAGTGCCTTTGTTCTGTCACTGCTGAACCCAAGCTGGGGAGGTCCAGGCTACAAGCTCGGAGATTTTGATCTTGTTCAGAAGTGCTGCAGGGCAAGATGGATTTCTGTGTCTTTTGCTCTGCCCCTGACGTCTGCTGTTGGCAGCAGCAAATCTGTTAGCGATTTCTCCTTGTTCTGACTTGGTAGGGACTCCTCCAGGACTAAGGTGAAATTTTAAAAAGCTCTTTACTAGAGTAAACATTCTAAATGATGAACTATTTTTTCATATTTTTCTTACTCGGCAGCATTTTTATTTCTTGATGGTACACAAGTTGATAATGCATTTTTCATGGGGCCTTAGCTAGACGAGACTTAGAAGTTTAACCTAAGTTTACCAGAAAAAGACTGATCTTTTCTCTAGGAGGCGTAGTGAGGGGTCTAGGTCTGTGAGGGGCCCATTGTCCACGTGCAGGGTAAAAGCTGACTGAACGCTCTCCAAGCCCTTCTGGCCTCTGAACTAATTGGATTCTAGTGTGCTGGAATGAATAAATTGAAGTGTGAGGTCTCTGCTTTAGGAACATAGGAGAAGTGATTATTAATTATTCGTACTTTTGACAAGATTGGTGAGCGAGGAGACATCTGAGCCAGGTGCTCAGGGGGAGAATAGTTGTGGTGGAGGAATAGGAGAGAGAGGATTTTAAGCTGAAGAGGCAGTACTGACAAGGTCATGGGAGAACCTTTAAAGCCATTCACAGGGACTTCCCTGGTGGTCCAGTGGTTAAGATGCTGCGCTCCCAGTACAGGGGCCATGGGTTCAGTTCCTGGTCGGGGAACTGAGATCCCACACGCTGCATGATGTGCCCAACCAACAAACAAAAACACTCAGCTTTTAGACCCTGGATAAAATTACATTCATCACGTTATGTAGAGGTGAGCCTCAGTACAGGTGTTCCATTGCAAGAAGGATGTCCTTTCCCAGCTGTCTAAAAAGATGATTACTCAAGACGTTCTCTTTGTTTCTGGCTTTTGACAATAAAATGATGATTCCTCACTAGTTAGTCAATGAATTAATGGGTATAGAAACCGTAAGATTAAAGGAGCTATCCGAGTACTCGGATATGTTCATTCCTGTTTGAGTTTCAGTGTCAAAGTGAATAATAAAGCTACTACCTAGTACTAGCTACTGTCTGAGGCACATTTGAACGAAAAGAAGTGAAAGTGAAGTCGCTCAGTCGTGTCCGACTCTTTGCGAGCCCGTGGACTGTAGCCCACCAGGCTCCTCCATCCGTGGGATTCTCCAGGCAAGAGTACTGGAGTGGGCTGCCATTTCCTTCTCCAGGAGATCTTCCTGACCTAGGGATTGAACCTGGGTCTCCTGCATTGTAGGCAGACGCTTTACTGTCTGAGCTACCAGGGAAGCCTCGCAGTGAGGCGCACTTAAATAATCTTGTAAATTATGATGTAGTCCATCCGATTGAGCGCTGATCTTCGTTTCGGGAAGAAATAGCGGCTTTGTATATGTCAGTCGCTTCAGATAGAGGTTCTCTGAATTGGGAATTTCTTTGGACACAGAAGCTCTTAGTTTTACTGAGCCAGGTACACCTTGAAAGAAAAAGCTCTTGTAAGTGTAGGCAGTGTAGCAGGCAGCAGTTGCAAAATCAAAGCAATTAACCTCAACTGGATGGGCTCGCCTTTGTTTTAGACCAAAAAGAAAGGCCGTTTAAATCGGGACTCAGAAATGGCACAGACTCCAGGGAGTTTGAGTTGGGTTTTCCGGGGCTGAGGATCCAGAGCTGAGGATCATAACCTCAGTTCTGCTCTGCCACCTTGTGTTCTCTTGGGAAAGTTATTTTTAATATCCCTCAACCGTGTTTGTTGCATACGTAATCCTCAGCTTTAGCTTGTTTCCAAGGAAAATTAGTTAGCAAATGAATAGAGCCTCCAGTGTGAAATCTTTGTAAGTTTGCTGAATGGTCAGGTAGTTTTTATTCCGATAAGACGTATGCTAGATTTCACAGTTTGGTTTTGTTGCTGTTGTTATTCAGTCTCTAAATCGCGTGCGACTCTTTGGGATCCCATGAACCACAGCATCCCAGGCTCCACTGTCTTCAGTATCTCTGAGTTTGCTCAGATTCACGTTAATTGAGTCAGTGATGCTGGATCTAACCATCTCATCCTCTGTCGCCCCCTCCTCGTCCTGCCTTCAGTCTTTCTCAGCATCAGGGTCTTTTCCAGTAAGTCAGCTCTTCACATTAGGTGGCCAAAGTATTGGACCTTCAGCATCAGTCCTTCCAATTAATATTCAGGACTGATTTCCTTTAGGATGGACTGGTTTGATTTCCTTGCAGTCCAAGGGACTCTCAAGAGTCTTCTCCAACACCACAGTTCAAAAGCATCAGTTCTTTGGTGCTCAGCCTTCTTTATGGCCCAACTCACGTCCGTACACGACTACTGGAAAAACCATAGTTTTGACTATCTGGACTTTTGTTGGCAAAGTGATGTCTCTGTTTTTTAATACACTGTCTAGATTTGTCATAACTTTCCTTCCAAAGAGCAAGCGTCTTTTAATTTCTTGGCTTCAGTCACCATCCAGAGTGATTTTGGAGCCCAAGAAAATAAAATCTGTTACTGCTTCCACTTTTTCCCCTTGTATTTGCCATGAAGTGATGGGACTGGATGCCATGATCTTAGTTTTTTGAATGATGAGTTTCAAGCCAGCTTTTTCACTTTCCTCTTTCACCCTCAACAAGAGGCTCTTTAGTTCTTCTTCACTTCAGTATATTTATCCACAATCTCCTTTGACCTAAAGACAGCGTTGCTTTTGCATTCTTCAGTACAGCATTGATCATCAGTGTTTTTCCTTCCTCTTTACAGGTGGTTCGTACTGAGAAGAACAGCCTGAACAACCGATTCCTGCCGTGGAATGAAATCGAGACAGAGGCCATCCTGTCTATTGATGATGATGCTCACCTCCGCCATGATGAAATCATGTTTGGGTTTCGGTGAGGAGCTGAGTTTTAATCAAGGAATGCTTTTGTTTGCAAGTGACAGGAAACTAACTCAAACCCTGGATGAGGCAGCCAGATGGATTTCATAGCTGGTAGTAACTGAGACATCTTGTGTGCTGAGTTGCTTCAGCCGTGTCCGACTCTGTGCCACTCCAGGGACTGAAGCCGGCCAGGCTCCTCTGTCCATGGGATTCTCCAGGCAAGAATAGCGGAGTGGGTTGCCATTCCCTTCTCCAGGGGATCTTCTCAGCCCAGGGATTGAACCCACATCTCTTAGGTCTCCTGCATTGGCAGGAGGGCTCTTTACCACTATTGCCCCAGGGCTTAAATATCTCACCTTGAAGGAACAGTACAGATAAGAGAACAGAGTAGATCAGGGCCACTCAGAGCGTGTCCAGTCCTGGCGCTGACTCGTGGACAGTTTATTTCCTGTCCAAAGTGAAGTGAGTACAGAAATTGAGGGTAGATATTTAGAAGCCTTTAAATAACTTGACATTTACCGTGACATCCAAGTGTGAACATTTTCCTGTAATTCATTTTTGAGTAACATTTATTGAATATAATTCATACGTCATACAGTTCACTCATTTAAGTGGCTTTTAGTGTATTTACAGGGTTGTGCAACTGTCACCATAATCTGTTTTAGAAGTCTTCATTACCATCAGAAGAAATCTTGTACCCATTAGCAGTCATTTTCCATTTTTCTCCCAACTCTCTAAACCATTGGCAGCCATTAATGTACTTAGTTTCTCTGTAAATTTATCAGACATCCCGTGTAAATGGTACCATATAATATGTGCTCCTTGGTACCTGGTTTCTTTCACTTAACATGATGTTTTCAGAGTTCATCTGTCTTGGAGCATCTGTCGGTTCTTCATTCTCTATGGATGTACACATTTTGTTGACTCCTAGGTGGCTCAGTGGTAGAGAATGTGCTTGCCAATGCAGGGGACGTGGATTCTACCCCCGGGTTAAAATTCCCTGGGGAAAGAAATAGCAACCAGCTCCAGTATTCTTGCCTGGGAAATCCCATGGACAGAGGAGCTGGCAGGCTACAGTTCGTGGGGTCGCAGAGAGCTGGACACGACTGAGCATACACACACACACATTTTATTTGTCCATTTTTTGACATTTGGGTCCTTTATGCTTCTTCGCTGTTGTGAATACTGCTGTGAACATTAATGTACATGCTTTTTTATATGACTATTTATAGATACATACCTTGGATATATATCTTGGAGTGGAGTTACTGGGTCACATGGTAACTCTTGGTTTAACATTTTGAAGAACTACCAGCCTGTTTTCCAAAGTAGCTGCACCATTTTATATTGCACCAGCAGTGAATGAGGGTTCCAATTTCGCTGTGTCCTTGTCGACACTTGATATTTTCTGTATTTTATTTATAGCCCTCCTACTGGGTGCAAAGTGGTATTTCAGTGTAGTTTTGATTTGCATTTCCCTAATGACTTAGGATATTGCTCATCTTTTCAGGTTTTTAGGAATAACATATATCTTCTTTGAAGAAATGTCTATTTTGCTTTGTTATTTGTGTTGTCTGTTTTTTTGAACTTTAAACACTTATTTTGTAGTAGGATATAGCCAGTTAACAACGGGGCGGTGGTTTCAGGTGAACGGCAAAGGGACTCAGCCATATACATGTGTGTACCCGTTCTTCCCCAGAGCCCCCTCCCATCCAGGCCAGCACATAACGTTGAGCAGAGTTCCTTGCTATACAGTAGGTCTTTTTTGGTTTTCTGTTTTAAGTATAGCAGTGTGTACATGACTGGTTTGTCTTTTTATTATTGAGTTGTCAGAGTTCTTTGTATATTCTAGGTACAAGTCCTTTATCAGGGATAATGATTTGCAATTTTTTTCTCTTATTCTGTGGGTTGTCTTTTCACATTTCTTGATGGTGTCCTTCAAAGCACAAAACTTTTCATTTTAATGAAGTCCAATTTGTCAAGGTTTTCTTTGGTAAGTTGTCCTTTTGGTGTTATATTTAAGAAACCATGCAATTCATTTTTATTGTATTTTTACAAAAGCACGAACAAGCCCAGGGAAAATTACTTCTTTGCCACAGAGTTTGAGAAGCACTGGAGTAGATATCCTTGGGGATCTTATTCAGACGAAGTAGAGACCCAGGCTGGAGAGCTCTTCTCTGTGCTGTTGTTTCAGGCACTGAGAGCCTGGCAGGCCCCTCGCTTTCAGGCTTCCTTTGGTTTAGGTGGACGAGTGCAGATGCTTAGATGAAAGGGGCAGCATCTTTACTGTTGTATTTGTCTTAGGTACATGTATAGTTACCTGGCACATTATTGACAAATTGGAACATCTCTTCTTCCTCGCCCTCAGCCAGCCTCTCATTTCCTCTTCCCTCCTCCTACCACTGTGTTATTGAGGCAAGAATCTGTTGTTAGCAGTTGTGAAAATCCCACTGGAATGTGTTCCTTTTTACCATGATAATAAGTAACCAGCTCTCTTTCCTTGGTTTTATGAAAGGAACAAAAGCCATGTGATGATAGCAGAAATGGGCTTTTGCCGTCACAGTTGTTATTGATGGTGACAGGAGAGACGGGAAGGTGGGGTGTTTCCGATACCGCATGGTGTCCTTGGGAGCCTGCTGAGGGACTGGAGGCTGTGGACAGTCATGGGGTGCTAACAGGAGGACTGCCAGTCAGCGCTCGATCCCAAGAATGACTAGATAAGCGGTCCTGCTTTGATGAGTTTGAAGCTTGTTAAGATAACTGGTGTTTGCCATCTTTTGTGGTTCTTGATTTAGAAAGATTTTTGATCTTTTCCATTTGTCACCAGATTTCCAAGTGGTGAGAGAGTAATGGGGAGCCTCATAACTGATGGTGCTGAGCATCTTTTCATGTGCTTAGTGACCATCTGTTTGTCTTCTTTGGAGAAATGTCTGCTCAGATCCTTTGCCTTTTTATTATTAAGTGGTTAAGAGTCTCTTACCATCATTTGAAATTTGAGGTTTAGTCTCTGATTATAAGACAAGTGAATTATCTCTGACTCTACTTCCAAATCTTCTATTACACTGAGTATTTTCTCATTTGTTTGGGCATCCTTTGATCTAAAAACTTTGCTTTCGAATTAGAGTTTTCATCTTTTCCATATGTATGCCTAGGAATGGGATTGCTGGATCATATGGTAACTTTGTTTTTAGTTTTTTAAGGAACCTCCATACTGTTCTCCATAGTGGCTGTACCAATTTACATTTCCACCAAGAGTGTAGGAGGATTCCCTTTTCGAAAGGATACATGCATTCTGACGTTCATTGCAGCACTATTTATAGTAGTTGAGACATGGAAGCAACCTAAATGTTGATATCAGCAGATGAATGGATAAAGAAGATGTGGTATATAGATACCGTGGAATATTTTTCAACCATAAAAAGAATGAAATAATGCCCTTTACAGCAACATGGATGGACCTAGAGATTATCACACTAAGTGAAGTCAGTTCAGTTCAATCGCTCGGTTGTGTCCGACTCTTGCGACCCCATGAATCGCAGCACACCAGGCCTCCCTGTCCATCACCAACTCCCGGAGTTTACTCAAACTCATGCCCATGGAGTCGGTGATGCCATCCAGCCATCTCATTCTCTGTCGTCCCTTCCTCCTCCTGCCCTCAATCCCTCCCAGCATCAGGGTCTTTTCCAATGAGTCAGCTCTTCGAATGATGGCCAAAGTATAGGAGTTTCAGCTTCAGCATCAGTCCTTCCAGTGAACACCCAGGACTGATCTCCTTTAGGATGGACTGGTTGGATCTCCTTGCAGTCCAAGGGGCTCAAGAGAGTCTTCTCCAACACCACAGTTCAAAAGCATCAATCTTTGGTGCTCAGCTTTCTTCACAGTCCAACTCTCACATCCATACATTACCACTGGAAAAACCATAGCCTTGACTAGAAGTAAGTTAGAGAAAGTCAAATACCGTATGATATCACTTATGTGTGGAATCTAAAAAAAAATGATGCAAGTGAACTTATTTACAAAGCAGAAATAGACTCAGATATAGGAAATAAACCTAATGGTTCCAAAGGGGAAAATGGGGGGAGGGCTAAATTTAGGAATTTGGAATTGAGAGATATATACTACTGTACATGTGTCATTTTGCAGAGTCGTACACGAACACACACACATATATAAAATAGATAACAAGGACCTGCTGTGTAGCTCAGGGAGCTGTATTCAATATCTTATAATAGCCTTTAATGGAAAAGAATCTGAAAAATAATATATATAACTTAGTCAATTTGCTGCACACCTAAAAATTGTAAATCAGCTGTTTTTGATCTAGAGTAAATAAATGAATATATCCATAGAAACTGTCCCTCTGGCAAAAGATAATGTGGGTCTTGGCTGACTTCAGCTTATGTAGCAAAGAAGGAAATAGTATGTTTTTAAGGGATGGATAAAGAGACTCAAGAGAATTGAAAACACGTATCTGTACAAAAACAGTCCATGACTGTTCATAGCAGCATTATTTATAAGAGTCAGTAAGTATAAACATGAGTCAGCTTATATGAGGCACTCACAGTAGTCAAATTCATAGAGACAAAGTGGAATGGCAGGTGCCTGGAATTAAAGAAAGGCAATAATGCCAAATTAATGGGTCAGGTTTTAGGTTGGAAAGATGGAAACATTCTGGAGATAAATTTAACAGTGGGAATATACTTAATGCCATTGAACTGTATACTTGAAAATAATTAAAATGGTAAATTTCATGTTATGTGTATTTTGCCACACACCAAAGAAAAATCAGTTGTCAAAAAAAAAAAAAAGCTACAACAAGAGAAGTGTAAACAATCAGAATGTCCTTCAGCTGATGAATGGATAAACAAACGGTGGTATATCCACACAGTGGAATATTACTTGGCACCAAACAGGAATGAAGTACTGACACGTGCTACAACATGAAAACAGGCTAAGTGAAACAAGCCAGTCACTAAAAGTCATGTACTGTGTGAGTCCACTTGTGTGAAGTGTCTGCAGCAAGCAGAGCCATGGAGACGGAAGGTGGATTAGTGGCTGCCGTGGGAGACTGGGGGCTGGGGGTGAATGGCAGTGACTGCTAAACTGCTAGTGGTTATGGAGTTTCTTTGCATTAATAGGTTATGAAAATATTCTGAAGTGGTGATGGTTGCATAGCTTTGTGAATATATTAAATACTAACCCCCAGCGAGTCATACACTTTTAAACAAGTGAGTCTTCTGTGTGATTTATATCTCAATAAACTTTATTTTTAAAAAGGGCAAAAGTGGAACAGACTTGTGGACTCTGGGAGAAGGCGAGGGTGGGATGTTTCAGGAGAACAGCATTGAAACATGTATATTATCTAGGGTGAAACAGATCCCCAGCCTAGGTTGGGTACATGAGACAAGTGCTCGGGCCTGGTGCACTGGGAAGACCCAGAGGGATCGGGTGGAGAGGGAGGTGGGAGGGGGGACTGGGATGGGGAGTACATGTAAATCCATGGCTAATTCATATCAATGTATAACAAAAACTACTGTAATGATGTAAAGTAATTAGCCTCCAACTAATAAAAATTAAAAAAAAAAAAAAGGGCAAAAGTGTAAGCTTTACAGTGAGGGATCATGGACTGGAAGGTAGTTTCTCTTCTGGAGGCATTTGAAGTGATCAGTATTTTTAGGAGTATTGATATAGCCTTCGGATATGCTGTTGGTATTTATTAACAATCCTTATATTCTGTAACTGTCAAAATATATTATTAAAACATAGCTTTTTAGGTAAGTGTTTGGAAGTCTGTGTTAGGAGATAAACAAGGATAGAGGTAGGGGTTTGGGTGGGATGTGGCAGAAAGCCCATCTAGATGGCTGCTGTGTTGTGATATAAGTTGTAATTTCTCATCTTCTGGACTAGACTGTGTGTATGCATCATCAGTCGTGTCCAATCTTTGTGATCCTATGGACGGTAGCCTGCCAGGCTCCTCTGCTCTGGGATTTCTCAGGCAAGAATACTGGAGTGGGTAGCCATTTCCTTCTCCAGGCATCTTCCTTCCGCACCTCCCGCATCTCCTGCATTGACAGGTAGATTCTTTACTGCTGAGCCACCTGGAAAGCTCACTGGACTAGGTTAGTTGCTTTCAAACTTAACAGGAGAGGGACTCTTGGAATGAAATCATGTGTGCTTTAGGAGCTGAGGTTTCGTGGGTGATGAGGAACTCTGTTAGGCAGTTTAACCTCTGTTGGAGTGAGGCGGAGGGAGGAGGTGATGGATCCTTGTTTGTGGTACACCTGAAGCACTTCTGCGGACTGTGGGTTTCAGCCTGGGAAACTGATTTTATTTGTTGTACCTTACCTAGAGGTAAGGTAAATTTGGAGATGTTAGAATGTTTATCCTGGAAACATTCCCAGCTAATTTCTTATATTATGAAGTCTTTCATTTGTCTGGTTCTGTAGACCACTGATTTTCATGGTACAGGTTTCCCCCTCAGCTCTGCTCCAGTCAGAATGTTAGACTGTGGTTAGATTGGGGTCACTCAGTAAGAGAGGAGTTAAGCATACAGTGTACATAAATTATGTACAAGTCCTACCATACTAGTATGTTACAATCTTTAAAAGTAGAGCTTAAGAAATTAAATAATATTAAAAAGAAATAGACACAAAAATTATCATCTTCCTGCTTCTTAGCAGATTGTTGTACTTACCCCATCCTGGAGACCTTTAAATGCCTTAGAGTCCTTAGAGCCTTTCTGTGTTTTTCCAGCTTGTTCTTTATGCAAGGGCTGGAGAGATGCTAGCCACCAGCATCAATAAGTTAGAGGATCGATAAGCAGGTGCTTATTAAGGAAACTGTGGGTGATACTTTGTTTTTATTCTGTTTGGTGTGTGATTGATTTGGTATATAAAATAAAAAGAAAAAAGAAGTAACAGCTCAAAAAGAGAGATCCTGCAAAATAGCGGCAATAATATTACACGTGTCTGATAACCTTAGAGCTTTGTACTCAGGTGTGTGCATATGCTTGTGTTTTATGAGGGTGTGGAGAGAAGCCCGGGACCGCATTGTGGGTTTCCCTGGCCGTTACCATGCGTGGGACATCCCTCATCAGTCCTGGCTCTACAACTCCAACTACTCCTGTGAGCTGTCCATGGTGCTGACAGGTGCTGCCTTCTTCCACAAGGTAAGAAAGGCCTGCTGGGACTGGCCTGACTCGGTAAGAGTTGAGCCTTTGTGTGGCAGTGAAATGCTGCTTTAGATAAAGATCGCTCTCCTAGTGCTTCTTACATATCCCATGCTTGCTAGAATTACCCGACTTCTGTCTTTAAAGACGGTGATCAAGATGGTTATAGCAGCTCTAGAATGAAGTCAGGATGGGAAGGCCACCAGTATAATTGCACATTGGCCATTAGAAAATCAGTTTATCCTGCTGAGCACTGGCTCTCCCTCTGTAAAACTGAGTGCACTGGGGCAAAACATTTTCCAGTTTCCCCACAGCCATTCCAGACATGGCCTGGCCAACGAAAGGCTGAATCTGGCCCTCTCCCGATTCAGCCACCTCTGTCCCAGGCCCCACCACGAGCTTCTGTCCATTCAGGCTCTGCCAGTTCTGTTTGATTCCTTAGAGCTTTTAATGTTCACGTTGCCTCACATCCTGCTTTTCACTGAATATTTAGGATGCATATCCTTCCAGTCATTACTCCTCTCGTACTGTTGTTGCTAAACTGTTCTGTTTTCTTGCTCCTGACTCATTTTCTCTCTCCATTTCATCTGTTCTGTAAAATAGCCCTTGGGCACATGTGGCTGCTGAGCACTTGAAACGTGATTGGTCAGTGCTGAGATGTGCTCTCAGTGTGAAATATTGTACATACCAGACTTTGAAAACTTGAAAGAAAGAGTGTAGACTGTCTCATTTCTAGTTTTTTATATTGATTATGTGTCGGGTGAGACAGTGTTAGTTGCTCAGTTGTGTCCAACTCTTTGCCATCCCATGGACTGTAACCTGCTAGGCTCCTCTGTCCATGGAATCCTCCAGGCAAGAATACTGGAGTGGGTATCCTTCTCCAGGGGATCTTTCTGACCCAGGGATCAAACCCATTTCTCCTGAATTGCAGGCAGATTCTTTATTTACTATCTGAGCCAATACGGGATGACTGTATGTTAAAGTGCAGTTATTTTGGATACACTGGGTTAAATTAAAATATATTACTAATTAATTTTACTGTTTCTTTTTATTTCTTAAAACTGTGGCTACTAGAAAATTAAAAATGACACATGTGACTGCTCCATACCTTCCCTCCCAGGTCCTCTCTCTGGGCTGTGAAGAGTCCCTGTTGTGGGATGGTCAAACTGCCTGTACCCTGACCTCACAGAACACCTCCTCCGTCCCCTTAATCTGGTTGAAACCTGACTTTTCTCTGAGGACAGTGCTTCCCCTTCAGCCTGTTCCTGTGTTCCTTCCAGGGGCCGTGATTGAAGCGATTCACTTCCCCAGACTTGCACCGTGGAGCCAGGTAGAGAGAACCTGGCTCACTGGTGCCTCTTCCTGACAGTTGCTTCTCACTTGTCACGTGAAATCTCATTTGAGACTGGTCGTATCTGTCTTGTTGCTCCATCTACTGACCACCTAACTCATCCCTTCATGGTCAGCAAAGATGTTACCACCTGGCCCATCATCCTGATCTCCACTCCGTGCTCTCCTGAACAACCCAGCCAGGGCCCTGTCTCCCTATAATTATTGAAGTATTACAGGGTTCTCCTTCTGTCTAGTGCTTTTCTTTCTTTTTAATTTGATTCTCATTTTATATTGGAGTATAGTTGATTTCCAGTGTTGTGTTAGTTTCAGATGTACAGCAAAGTGATTCAGTTATACACATAGCTACTCTTTCAGATCCTTTCACATAGAGGTTATTACGGAATATTGAGTAGAATCCTGTGCGCTGCAGTAGGTGCTTGTTGATTGTCTAGTTTATGTGTGATCGCCTAGTGCACTGCTTATTTTGTGTTGTCCTTACATCCTCTCAAGCTCTTGTGGCTTTTCTTAGCGTCCGTGAGCTAGTGATTTCCAGCCCTGCCTTTCCTTGAGAGCTTTACTTGTAAATTTATTTTCAGGACCTTGCTGTATTTCTCTCTGGTAGGTCAAACTGAACTTTTACCCAAAAAGCTTCCTTGTTTGGCCTTTGAAAGAAACTAACTAGGTCTTCCCTAGTCTAGAGCGATCAAGTTATTTTTTCTTTTTATTATAAATGCCTATCAGTAAAAACTTTTGGTACCTCACAAATGTATGTATGTATAAATTATAGTATGTATACTATACTTAGAGAAATAGTATAGTGTACCATACTTACAGAAATTTTTATATGGTTGAGATAAAGATGAAACAGTTTTGAAATAATAGTCTTACTAAATTCTTAAATTTTAGTGAAAGCAATATGACTGAACATGCATTATTATTTTTGAAAATCTTGATTTGACTCTTTGTATACTGGCAGGTCAGTGTTCTGTTTCTAAATTAGTCTGTTTCTAAATTAAGCACATTTCTGATACTTTGTTTTAATCACTGTCCCTGGAAGAAATACCTTACTGCCCTGCTTCCAAAGTCCTGCTGCTTATCTACCAATTTGGTAGCATTTTGTTGAAATTGTTGAATTTTCATCTTCTGTGGCATTGTTCAATTTTTTTAAGCAAACTAATGAGCAGATATTGCATTTTATATTTTAGAGTAGGTTCTAAATTCACTGAAACTTTTAGAAGATTTTTAAACAGATTACAAAGTTTTTCTGTATTTTAAAAATTATTTTTGGTATAAAAATCATATAATAGTGGAAATACTTCTAAATATTTGTTTTCATAATGCTTTCTCCATATACTTTTAAGTCAGTTCTTTTTTCTTACAATGTCGTGTTTCCCTTGATAAAGATATGGATTGTTTTTAATTAATAAATGTTCTCATTAGCATGCTAATGATAGCTAGTGGCCAGTTAAAGGATCAACCTGTCTTTTTGTAAAAGAAAGATGTATAATTCATCTTTTAAGTTTAACATCTCTTGAGTATTTTGCCACAAGATAACCAGCAAACCACTGTTTGGTACAAAAATTTTATGGTTGGTTTGCTATATAGATTCTACCATTTAAGGTAAAAAGATACATAAGTCAGTTTTATTGGACACCTCACCTGTTCATTTATCATCAGCATATTGTAACAGATCTCGATTACCATTTGGTGTGTTTTATGGCATTTGTTCACTTCTGTGGTGTAAATATTCTTGCCATGACTGAGTTCAGGTTAACATGAGTCATTGAGCATGGCTTTTGTAAGAGATGAGCAATTACATGCCAATTACATAGTCTTTTCACCAGACAGTTATAATAGGCATGAACAACCTCAGGATGACAGTAAATGTGGGACTTCCCTGGGGTCCAGTGGTTAGCACTCTGCACTTCCACTGTGGGGGACGTGAGGGTTTGATCCTTTGTCAGGGAACTAGGATCCTGCATGCCTTGCAGCGCAATCAAAAAAGTTAAAAAATGATGATGGTAAATGTACTAAATAATTATAAATGTGTTAACTAGTTAAATAAGTGATGTGCTTTAGGTATTTATTGGCTGCTAATATAATGTATTTAGTTTTCAGTTGTCATTTAGTCGCTAAGTTGTGTCTGACTCTTTGCAACCTCATGGACTGTAGCCCGCCAGGCTCCTCTGTCCATGGGATTCTCCAGGCAAGAATACTGGAGTGGGTTGCTGTTTCCTTCTCCAGGGGTCCTTCCCAACCCAGAGATAGAATCCGCATCTTCTGCATTGGCAGGCAGATTCTTTACTCCTGAGCCACCAGAAAGCCCCTTAATTTTAAGTACGTGTAATTCTAGCTGTTTTTCATAACAAGGTCACAAAATTCCTAAAATCCCTGAAAGTTCAGCAGTCGACATTCATTGGTAGATGTGAGGCAGTGCACACCTGTGGACCTTGTGGGACGTTTTAAGAACTTAGGCTTAGTCTGGGTGAGATGAGAGACCATTGAGGGGTTTGGAGTAAAGGAGGCACATGTTTTAACATGATTGCTCTGCTGTGCTGAGGATGGACTGGAGGGAGGAAGGCAGGCAGCAGGGAGGCTGATGAGGAGCCTGTGTGAACAGTGTGGGCCAGAAATGAGGGTGGCTTCGGGCAGGGGTAGCCTGTGCCCAGGCTGAGCAGTGAGGCGCTGCGGGATCAGACGTCTCATCCCTCAGTGACTTACTGAGGTCTGAGAGATAACCAGACTTTCCCCTCGCTTGCCCTTTGCTTCGTCAGAATGCTTTCAGCTGAACTAGTGTCCAGCTGGATTTGATAGATCTTTATGTTGCTGCAGAATCACTGTGGTACCAAGGAGACTGCATGAAGGTTTGATTCCCAAAGAGGGTGATGATGGCAGTTTGGATAGGCTGATTCTTCAGTGCGGAAGGTCTGCCTTGCAGGTGCTCAGCACCCCTGGACCCAACTCCCTAAATGCCAGTGGTGCTTCCTGGAGATTGCCACACCCCAGCCTCCTCCACAACACGCTTCCTAACAGCCCTGTGTGTATTTTTGCTGAAAGCCAAAGAACTGTGGCCTCTAACACAGTATGTGCTTCTGTTTCTGCCCCGACAGTATTATGCCTACCTGTATTCCTACGTGATGCCCCAGGCCATCCGAGATATGGTGGATGAATACATCAACTGTGAGGACATTGCCATGAACTTCCTCGTCTCCCACATCACTCGGAAACCCCCCATCAAGGTAAGGCCCCACCGCTTACGGGACTGGGGGTGCATGTGCACTCAGCTCACGTACTTTGTGGTTGTGCGGGGCGTAACTCACCGTACTTCGGAGTCCTCGTCTGTAAATTGGGATGATGAGGCCACCAGCCAAATAGGATCACCTTAGGGTTTAATGAGGGTCTTCACTTCCTAAGGTGTAAATGGATAGAAATCCGTGATTGGAATTTGAATGGGGAAATGTTACATCTTTAATTTTCGCTGGTCTTGAATTAAAATTTATCCTTTTTATCAGTTATAAAACAGGCTGTAATTCATAAGAGGATTGGTGGTGACTGATTTTTCACCAGAACTCATAGATATTTTCATATCACATTATGTTTATTGTGAAGTATTGTTAACTTTCATCACTTTGAAATTATGGTAGTTACTAACTTTTTCCTAGATTGTGTTACTTTTAAAAGAGTACATATATTTCTGTGTTTCAGCATTACCTGTTTACATTGTTACTGTTGTTCAGTCCGTAAGTCCTGTCTGACTCTTTGTGACCCCATGGACTGCAGCATGCTTCTCTGCTCTCCACCGTCTCCCAGAGTTTGTGCTCAGATTCATGTCCATTGAGTCAGTGATGCCATCTAACCATCTCATCTTCTGCTGTTTCCTTTGTAATTTCTTACATTTTACGTGTCTAAAAGCATTCTAAGGAGGTCCACAGGCTTCCCCAGGTTGCCAAACCAGAATGGAAGGTGGTGTGTCCTTGGCACCCAAAATGTAAGAATTTCTGAGTTAAGGTGTGTAAAACTGTAAGAATAGTGCCCAGCACCTAAGTTCTTCATAAGGTATTTATACAAAACACAAGTACCCTCAAATTTGTAGAAATTTGAATTCTTTCTCTGTCTTTGAGTAGGTGAATAGATTTGACCAGACTATTAACAGTTTCATACTCGGTGCTTTTCATACTTTTCATAAAGACCAGTCCCATCACCATCTCTGTCATTATTGTAGATTTAGACAAGTGGAAGCTCTCCTGGTGAGGGCTACGGTAAAGGGCTTGTAACAGTTAATACTGGAGAATCTGTCAGTTCCAATTAATAGTATTTATGACTATGCTCTGTCAGTCTTTTAAGTTATAGATTCACACTTGCTGTCCTTACGTTATTATCAAAAAGTCGTATTAATTTTATAAAATAATTTTACCTTCATGGATATCGTTAGGGCCATGAGTAAATAATAATTTGGTGTATATTTCATTCTTCTTATTGTACATTTTGAATGTAAGTTCTAGATTAAGTAGCCACTAGGCTGTACTAATAATGATGGTCAAATTGTATCTTTAGTTTTAAGCAAGAGTGGTAACTAGAGAACATTGATGCCAGCAACAAAGCAAAACCGACAAATAGAGAGGTGCCTGGGGCTTTATGCGCTCACTCACACCTGTTCCAGCCTTTCGCCTGGTGTGGCTCAGGGTTATAACTTAACTCCTGGTTACCACGTAGCTTCTCAGATTCTTTAGCCTTCTGCTAAAGCCTCGTAAGAGAAGAATAATTAGCAATAATGCACCAAAGTGTGTGTGTGTTTTTTTTTTTTAAACTCTGAGTGATAATAGTATTTTTATATAAAATAACATGTTTTCCAGGTACAGTGGTAGATCTGATAGTAAATAATAAAAAAGCATACTTCTTTGTAAATTCTAAGGAAGGGAGGCAAAGGTCTTAAAAAGAAATTGATTGGTGTACTTTTCTGTTCCTTATTTATCCTTTATTGTGTAACCAGGGACTGGACTCCAGCCAGATGTTTGCTTTCTAATTATAACTCCCTAGTAAATCATAAGACGTTATTCATGAAAATTTAAAGTATCTGAGTGATTAGGTACCTAATAATACCATCAGTCACGTTAAGCACTCACAGACATGGTGCATTTTTCATCTCATGGAAGCATGTTTGTTCTGTTATTAGGCCAGTGTTTCATTGGTTAAACATCTCTCCAGTGTAGAGAGTGAGGTGGAAATAATTTGCTTACGGTATACATGATTCTTTGGCTACCTGATGTGAAGATCTGATTCAGTGGAAAGACCCTGATGCTGACAAAGATTGAAGGAGAAAAGAGAAGGGGGCTGCAGAGGATGAAGTGGTGAGATAGCATTACTAACTCAGTGGACGTAAATCCGAGCAAACTCGGGGGATAGTGAAGGACAGGGGAGTGTGGCATTGCAGAAAGTCAGATGTGACTTAGCGACTAAACAGCGAAAGTGAAAACTTGGAAAATTAGAATGACTTTTTAAAGTCAGGCTCACTAAGTTGAGCCTGTCTTCAAATTCTGAGTCCAGTTATTTACTTCCTATTGTAGAACCAGTTTGAACTCAGTATTTTCATTAATTTACCTAATTTTATCAGTATATATACTATTTTATAAAGTAGTAAATTTTTTTTTTTTGCTTTAAATACTTCAAATTTTCATCGTCCCTTCCCTTGTTATAATTAGGAAGGCATGACTGTTTGTATTCTTTCAGTAATGTTAATATCTTGACAATACTGACTAAATAAACTACACAGAGTTAATTTCATATTGTTGCTTTGAATAATGTACTATTATTTTTTTGAAGAGGAGAGATCTAGAGTGTAAATAGACTTCATTCAGAATAAAGGATAAAAACTCATAAAGCATTGAGAAGACAGGTGGAGATGGCTTATGGGATAAGGAAGAAGAGAGAGGATACATAAGTAAACGTCTTAATATTAATGCTGAGTAAGTTCTCAACATCTATTAAGGATTTTCCTTACCATTACTAAGCAGAACTTTCCTTAGACTAAATTACTTGAAATATTCCTGTGTAAAATATAATCCATGATGTTGCTTTAGTAAGTGTTCAAACTTCACTTTATACAATTTACTTTATTCTTAATTTTTTGTATGTTTTATTATGTTATACACACACACACACACAGAGTTGTTGTTCAGTTGTTCAGTCATGTCCAACTCTTTGTGACCACATGAACTCCAGCACACTAGGCTTCTCTGTCCATTACTATCTTCTTGAGTTTCCTCAAACTCGGGTCCGTGGAGTCAGTGACGCCACTCAGCCGTCTCATCCTCTGGTGCCCCTTCCCCTCTTGCCCTCAATTTTTTCGCAGCTCTATCTCTGTGTATATCACGGAGCCACTGGACCACCAGGGAAGTTCCTGTATATAGATATATATTTTTTTTTTATTAAATTAATTAAATTAAATTAATTAAATATACTGGGGTTGCAATCACAACTTTTTTTAGTAGTGGGTTACATGATTAAAAACATTTGGAAACCACTGCTTCAGTGGAAATACCTTTATAGAAGGAGCATATATAGAGAGAAAATGCCTTATAAAAGCAGTATAAATACCTCTTTTTGTGCCAGAGTGGAGTCATTTGCAGGTTAAGAGACTTTTCCCCTCGAGGTTGAGTGCTGGCGTCTGAGATGAGGTACAAGGGGAGCAAAGTAGGATACTGGACACAGATGTGGCTTGATTGCAGCCAGCCTTCTCCAAGCCCTTGACAGCCGTCTCCTGCTTCAGTCAAAGCTGGTGGGGAGAGTAGTAAGTGCCGCACTGTTGGCTGTAAACCGGAGGACGTCTAGAGACCTGCCGGTGGGAGGGAGGGTGGGGGAAGGGGGTGGGGAGTCCTGGGAAGGGACCTCTGGGGGTCATGACTCCTCCTGAGCTTTATTTCTGGTGGAGTGTCCCTTGGAGCCCTGGCCTGCGGTCATGATCACTCCTCAGTTTCACCTCTAGCAACTGGACTTCTGATGGCTAATCCTGGCTGTGGGTGGTGGTTATTCTTCAGCTGTGATTAACAGGATGGGCCATCCAATTTTAATTTTTCTCTCAGTTTATAATAGTAATAATAATTTTAAAGTTATTCAGGAAAAAACATATATTCAGAAAGAAAGTAGAACATGCAGATTTAAAAACTTAAATAGAACGACTGGAAATGGAAATTATAGTTATTAAAATGACAGTCTCTGTGAATGGGATAACATGATAAGACAGCTGAAGAGAAAGTTAATGACCTAGTAGATTATGTGTGAATAATGTGAATACATTATCTGAGAAGGTATTATGGAGATACAAAGAGATGGAAAATAAGAAAGATGAAGAGATTCAAAGGTTGTAAAATCTAACACAGTGCCAGAAAGGGAACATTAGAGAGATGGGAGGGGCAGTCTTGATAATACAAAATGAGAATTTCCAGAATTTATTGACTGCATGCGGCCTTCCCTGGTGGCTCCTGCAGTGTGTTAGACTGGGGTTCGATACCTGGGCCAGGGAGATCCCCTGGAGAAGGAAATGGCAACCCATTCCAGTATTCTTTCCTGGAAAATCTCATGGGCAGAGGAGCCTGGTGGGCTACAGTCCATGGGGTTGCAAAGAGTCGGATACAACTAAGCAAAACGCGTAACATTGCATGAATACTACGGCAAATATTACACTTAATTGTGAAAGTTTAGAAGGTCCCTGTTGAAGTCAGTAGTAAGATAAGGTTACCCACTAAATAAATGGAGATAGAGACCACATTCACATTCATATGGTCAGGATAGCAGTTCTCCCCAAGTCTAAAATGTTGGTGTAACTCTAATTGAAATCCTATTAGGTGGCAATAAAATTAACCATCACACCATAAAAAAAAAAAATCCTAGTAGGATACTTCATTTGGTTTAATTTGACTTGGAGCAAAACTTGGCAAACAGATCCTCAGATTTGTATTGAAAGGCAAAGAGCCAGGATGGCTACGGCACTAGTGAAGAAGAGGGGAACTTGCCCTGTCAGAAAGCGTGGCTCGGTATTAAAGTACAGACTTAGGACAGGTCCCTGTGATCTTGGTGCAGAGACCGACAGTCAGTGGTATGGGCAGAATGCAGACACAGGCCCATGTCTACCGGGAAACTTGACATGTGATAAAGGTGGCATCTGTAAACGAGTGTGGGAATAACTGGTTTTCTGTATGGAACAGAAGTGCATGTCATACCATACACAAAGTAAATCCAGATGGGCTAATAAACCTAATGTTAATAGCAAGCTTTAAAACTTCTAACAAAAAATACAGAAGTGTTTTTGTGATATAGACAAAGAGAAACAAAAAGTACAGAATCTAGAGGAGAAGATTGATTGGTTTGAATATATTAAAGTTCAAAACTTTGTTCAAAAAACTATATCCAGACTGTGACATTTACAGTGCTGGTACATGACAAAGAATTGATACCCAGATAAAGGATTTCCAAAGGAGAAGACCACTCAGTTGATTCAATAAGTATGTAAGAAAGTAGTTCAGTGAAGTGGAAACCTAGATGATTAATGAACATGTGGAAGGATGCTAATCTTCTGTAATAATCAGGGAAATGGAAGTTAAAACAATGTGATATAGTTTATACCCATCAAGTGGGCAGAAATGAAAGTGTGATGGTACCAGATGGTAGTAAGGATGTGTAGAAATTGCAGATGTTGATCAGGGCTGGTGGATGTATACATTGGGACATTTATTTTGAAGAAAGTTTGGTTTTGTCAAGTATAATTGAAGGTCATGTTCCCCATGACATTGCAGTAGAGGAAAGGAGGGTGGCATGCGGATTAACTCTTTGTAATATTCTGTTTCTTTCGCCAAAAAAAAGAAAAATATATATGTAGTCTAAAACAAATAGGACAAAGTGTCAATATTTGACAAACCTGGTGGGTTTGCTTGTTTTGTTATGTTCTTCCCCCCTTTAAGCATAACATTTTATTCATATGTTTTAAACCAATAGTAGTGTATGTTTCATACATATATAGCCATATTTGATTCTTTTTGGAAATATTTATTTATTTGGCTGTGTCAGATCTTAGTTGTGGCATGTGGGATCTAGTTCCCTGACCAGGGATGGAACCTGAGAGTGCATTGGGAGAGCAGAGTCTTAGCCACTGGACCCCCAGGGAAGTCCCTTGATTCTTTAAACAAATACCTGTGCAATAAAAATGATAACTAAAAATAAGAAAGTTTAACATTCTCACTACCAACTCCTTGTATGTGTACCTCGGTAATCCCGGCCTGCTGCTTCCCGCCATTGATAACTGCCACCCTGAGTTTGGTTTTAAAAATCCCCTTCCCCTCCTCCCTTAAAAAGAAAAGCGTTTTTACCAACGTGTATTTATCTCTAGGACTTTCCTTGTGGTTCAGCTGGTAAAGAATTCACCTGCAATGTGGGAGACCTGGGTTCGATCCCTGAGTTGGGAAGAGTCCCTGGAGAAGAGAAAGACTACCCACTCCAGGATTCTGGCCTGGAGAACTCCATAGACTGTATAGTCCATGGGGTCGCGAAGAGCTGGACATGACTGAGCGACTTTGACTCACTCACTCATCTCTTAAGTGATTGGTGTCTTTAAACTTTATGTAAATGAAGTCAGACTGTTAGTGTCCCTCTGCGATTAGGTTTTTAAAAAGTCAGTCTGTGAGCTCAGTCAGTGTTGATGCTTGTGACTGTAGTTTATTTTTATTGCCCCAGAGTCTTAAAGAGGCTCTCCCCCATACCCTTCTAAAAGTTTTAGGTTTTGCCTTGTTGTATTTAAATCATCAATCCTTGTGGAAGTGATTTTTGTCTGTGATGTGAGATGGGGCCCCAGCTTCATGTTTGTCTCCTAAGCAGTGCTCATTGCACACTTAGCTCGTCCACACCAGTGACGTGCAGCGCCGCTCTGTCGTTCAGCGTTCGTCTGTGTGCAAGTGTTCTTCATTCTGGTCTGTTGGTCCAGTTTGTTCACGTGCCAAATTCACACTAATGGTCATATCTTTAGAGTTATTTTTTTGTATCTCCTAAGACAGGTCCCCTCTAATGTAATCTTGTATTTCAGGAGTGTCTTGCCTTGCACATGCCCTCCTGCAGGGATCCACCCAGAAGGGCAGAGTGTGCGCTGGGCCCCAGGAGGCAGGTGGCTCAGCTCAGAGCAGGAAGGAGAGCTCAGCTGTGGGAATGATAGCTTTTTTCTGTCCCGGGATCAGTTTTCAACTTTAAATAAATGGAATCATACAGTTATCTCTTCCCATGTCTCTCAGTCTTTTTTTAAAATAATGTTACTATCTGTTTATGGCGGTGCTGGGTCTTCGCTGTTGCTCAGGCTTTTCTCTGGTTGTGGAGAGCGGGGCCTATTCTCCAGCCGCGCTGCCGGGGCGCCTCACTGTGGTGGCTTTGCCTCCTGCGGAACACGGGCTCTAGGTGTGCGGGCTTCAGCAGTTGTGGCTCCCCGCCTCTAGAGCGCAGGCCCAGTACGTGTGGCGCGTGGGCTTAGTTGCTCTGAGGCCTGTGGGATCTGCCCGGATCAGGGACAGAACCCATGTCTCCTGCATTGGCAGACGGATTCTTTACCACTGAGCCACCACGGAAGCCCTCCATGTCTCTTCATCTTGCTTTCATATTTCTTTAAAGCTTTTTCCCAGTATTTTCCATTCTGGGAATAATTTTAGTATACTTTTTATCACTATTTTTCTCTTCACCCATCCGTTATCTGATTTAATTCAATATACTTTTTTTCTTCCTAGTTTTATTGAGATGTAATTGACATGCAACTTCATGATTTGCCTTACAAACCATCATGAGATGATGATCACAATAAGTTTATATATTTCCATTTCTGTTGTTCTATTTGGTTCTTTTTCCTTTTCTTTTTTTGATTGTGCCATGCAGCATGTGGGATCTTAGTTCCCTCACCAGGGATTGAACTTGGACTGCTTGCATTGGAAGCGTGGTGTTAACCACTGTATCACCAGGGGAGTCCTTTGGTTCTTTTTCATATCCACATGAACTTTTTTGATAGTCCCTGTTTCTTCCATCAAACTTTGAATAATCTTTCAAAATTTTATTGTACATATGAGACACGTTTACTGTTAACTGTCTCTGTCTGAGAATCCTGCTGTTTTGCAGTGTTTGGTTTCTGCATATTCTCATTCATGTGACTCATCCCTGCTGTGTGATTTTCGACTGTGAGGTCATATTCCTTGGGGTGCTACTTACGGCACTTCTTTGAGGCCTGGATCTGAGAGGACTTGTACTTGTTTCTCGTGTGTGCCTGGGCTCACCACCTGCTTAAGACCTGTTCACGCTAAATTAGCATATTGGGACACAGGGGTGACATGAATTCTAGCCTCAGCTGTGTGAGGCCGACTTAAGGTTATAGTTTCTCAGAGGGGATGTTTCCTCCTCCTCTTGGAGCTCAGACTAAGAAGGAAGCAGTGCTTCACCACCTTGCTCTGTGGGGCTGCCTCCCACTCACGTGGCCTTCCGCTGGGTCCCAGGCTTTAGAAAGTCTCTGATCTGATTTGATGACAGTGGCTGTCCCAGCCTTGGGAAGACTGGAGCTCCTAGCTGTCTCTGGATTTTCAAGCCTTCTCACTCCTTTGACTTCTGAGGATTTCATTTCTTTGATTACAAGCTCAGCCAGTATATTTAAAGAAGACAGCTTCTATATTTCATCCTGCCTTTTCAGGCATTCTCTGCCGAGGGGTCTTATGTTATCTGCTCTGCTGTGTTGTTGACAGTGAAGCTGTTGTATTCCTCTGCATACTTTCTAATTGCTTGAAGTTTCATCATCATAATAACCAGTAAACTATAGTATGATCACTTTCCCTTGTCTTTAAATATGACTTTCTTAAAACTTCTTTGTAATGGATGTGTAGTGTTTTATAATTATTTAACTAGTCCCCCTTTGATGGGTAATTTTCCAGTATTTTGCTGTTAAAAACATGAATGAAATGAACAACTTTGTACCTACAACATCTGGCTGTGCAACCAGGAGAAATACTAGAAGTAGAGTCACTGAGATAAGTAACACTGAAGACTTCAAGGCTTTCGATATCTGTTAAGTGTGGACCATTTGGAAAGCACATCCTTACCAACAGTGTAGGTGTTGAATATGTCCCTGGCAGGAAGAGGACTCTGAGTGAGCATGGGCCTCGGGCTCTGTTTCATCGCCGTAGAAACGGAGGCCTCATGGGCTGAGCTGCGGGGCCTCTGTCAATACTGGCGCCGAGGTTCTCACCCTCTGCTCTTTCTTCCCGCTCCCAGGTGACCTCACGGTGGACTTTCCGATGTCCGGGATGCCCTCAGGCTCTGTCACACGACGATTCCCACTTCCATGAGCGGCACAAGTGTATCAACTTCTTCGTCAAGGTGTACGGCTACATGCCCCTGCTGTACACGCAGTTCCGCGTGGACTCTGTGCTCTTCAAGACCCGCCTGCCCCACGACAAGACCAAGTGCTTCAAGTTCATCTAGGGGCATTGCGCGGCGGAGCGAGGAGGGGCGGAGCGACGGAGGGGCTCCGGGGGCCCTGGACACTGAAGGGCCTCGGACGCCCCCGGCTGGTCGGGCCAGGCCCTCTGCTGGGAGGGGCGGGCCGCCTTGCTCTTGAAGTCGGCGGCGCTGGGCCCGGAAGCCTGGTCCCAGGCCACCAGGGTTCCCTAAACAGGGCACTGACGATAGCTTACACTGAGGACCACGGGGCTGTGGGGAGTCACTCACAGCTCACGAGCCCGGCGCAGCCGGCTTGTGGTTTTTTAATTCACTAACAACTGTTATTATTATTTAAAAACTTTCAGATTTGCCATTCAAGGTTTATTTATATATGTGTGTGTATATATACACATATGTGTGTGTGTATGTATATGTGGGTGTATACGGATACATGCACACACACTCACAGACATATACATATGTATGTATTCGAGGGGGAGCTTGGCGTTTCTGCCCATCTCACAAAGTGAGGGTCCTGCCGTGGTGGTCTGTATTTTGGTAGAGAAGGATCCTGGCCTTCCTGTATCTGGCTCATCCTTGAAGATGGTCTCTGTCCTCCCCAGGGCCCCTGTGTGCAGAAATAAGAAAGGGCCGGCGTGGCCCTGGGGATCTTGCCTGAGTTAAGACCTGTGGGTTGGTTCCTTCCCCGCTTTCTGTTGCCGACAGTGCTCTGTGGCTCGAGTTGTCCTGTCACTCGAGTTCTTGGTGGGATGGGGGCCTGTGTATTTGGCGGCAGCTGAGCTTCCTGCATGGGACAGGTGGGTCAGGGACTTCCTGCTGGGTGTGCTGTCTGTGTACTTGACCTGGCTCCTCCTCTCCACCCCCCGTCTGAGAGTGAAGACAGGAAGGACCGAGACCTGCAGACAGACCCCAGACTGTTCACTTTGTCCGACCCTCCTTTTAAAGACCTGTTCTGCTTCGCCTGCAGACTTTCCCGAAGGTTCTCTCGTAGAGAGCAGATGCCTGGCGGCTACACTTCAGGGGGGCCTGGGTGGTTGGTTGCAGGTCGGCCGACTCTTTCTGGCGCAGAGCAAGTGAGCAAGCACCCTTTGATTCCCACCCGGCTGGCCGGGAGCCACAGCAAGGCACCTGCCTTGGGATGATACCTGGGTGAAATTCACCTTACCCACCCCCTCTGGACCCGCATCCTGTAGTTCCTAGATCCCTCAGCCCGGGTGGGTGCCAGGCCCCCCCTGCCGGGGTTGGTTTGGTGTATGTTAAATGATGGCAGCATAGGATTTGTTGGATTAAGCTCAAATCCAGCCTGAAATTGAACAGGTGTTCACATCCCATATTACCACTTCCCCCTGTGGGTTTCAGTCTCTCTTCCTGGGCTGAAACAGAAGGAAGCTAATTTTTTTTTTCTGGTGGTGGCAGCAGTAGGGGAACTGAAGAGAGTGGTCTCACTGGCGTTTGGCTGGGATGTAGCCCGTGACCTCTGCCGTGCTTTCTGGACCCCCCTTTCCTCCGGTGAGGCTGAGTCTAGGAGGTTCCCCTCAGTGACTGAACACAAGCCCGGGCCTGTCCTGGGCGCGCACATGCCTTAAGCCAGCTCCGTCTCCCCGGACCTCGACCTCCCCTCCCGTGTCCAGGGGGCACATCCCTCTCTGACCTGCCTGCCCCCCAGGGGGTCCTCTTCAGGTGTCACCTGAAGCCAGCTCTGTCCTGGAGGGAGCGCCCCCGGAGGGCTGCTTGACCTGAGGGGCTCGCCCCGTCGGCGGACAGGACCGGGCTGTCTCCCTGACGTCCCTGCTAGCATCTCCCTGCGTCTGGCCTGCTGAGGCCGCCGCCTAGGAAACAAGCGCTGCTGCTCGGCAGCCCGGCGCAGGGGTCCAGACCCCGCCTCCTGACTTTCTAATTACTCCTCCTTTACTCTGGACTTGATTCTTTTTAGCAGTAGCCTTCTTCCCTTTGGGAAGCCAAAGAGTGTGGTGTTTTGAGCTATAAATGTGGCTGCTATTTTTATCTTGTCTCTTTTAATGTGAGGAACTCCTGGACTGCCTCTGAGCACGGGGCCCTGGTGAGAAGGTAGCTGTGTCAGGACCCCCCGAGGTGGAGCCAGGCAGGGGTCCCTGAGTGTCAGGGACAGATCAGAGCAGCTGGTGCCCTGAGCTGGTGGATGACGTCACGGGGCACTCAGGGGTGGGGGGCGGTGATGTCAGAGCAGGGGCGCTGTTGGACCTGAACGTGACCCCGACCTGAAGGACCCGGCCTGCAGGCTCTGGTGGACACGAGCCGCGTCTGTAAAGGACACTCACGTGAGAGGCAGGGGGTGCAGGGCTTTCGGGGGCCTGGTCCGTCTTCCAGAGAACAGCCGTCACATTTTGCGAGGCGGGTTAGGGGGACGCCCAGATCAGGCTTCCAGTGCCTCTGATGCCTGTTGCTCAGCGTGGGGAGTCCAGAGTTGTCTGCGCCACCTGGCTGATACCTGGAACCTGCCACAGCCCTGCAGACACGAGCCTCGTCAGCCGTCCCGTGACCACCTGCTGCCGTCTGCGCCCCCAGAGCCCAGCGCATCCGTGCTCCCCGGTGGGAGACACCCACCTGAGGGGAGCCCCCAGGCGCTCACCAGGCCTGCGCCGTGGCCCTCCGCCCGTGTGACCGCCCCTCACGCCAGGGCTCGGGCGCCGTGCCCCGAGGAGGAGTCCCTCCGGAGCGGCCTGCCTGTGTGAAGGCGGGCGCTCCTCTGCAGTGCTCGTGTTCTGAAGGGGCAAGCTCTAATGATTCTCATGCCATGTCCATCCACCCCACCCCTTTTCCAGTCATGAGCACAATGGTCTTACGTTGGGTTTTTGTAAAAAAAAATAAAAATTAAAAAATGGCGACTACAAGCAGCTTGGAGGTCTTTGTGATTTTTCTCTGCAGGACGGAAGAGTGCCTAAGGGAAGGTGCCTGCTGGTTCCAGGAGCCCCCCACCCCACCCACGGTGCACGGCCGGGCCCTTCCTGCACGGCTGTGCTTGCCCTGGGCCCGGCGTGGCCTGCGGGCCTGAGCCGGGTGATGCTGTCAGTGGGCACGGGCAGCCTTGCCCATCTTGGTGTCCGTTTCCAGGATCAGTCACTAGATCGGATCGAGAGGAACTGTCACGGGACTGGTTTGCGTATGGACATGGGGTGGCATGGGGCACGTGTTTCCCACCTTTCTCGTGGTGACTTGTCAAGTGTGTGTGGTGTGGTGTTAGGGAGCTCCCTGCGTGTTCCCCAGCCCAGAGCAGGGCTGGTTTATAATGGCCCCGTCAGACTTAGGGGTCACGAAAAGCACCTGCATCTCGCTGGGGCTTAACTCTTGCTGCTGTGGTCCCAGGCTTCTGCTCAGCCATGGGATCGGAGCCATCCTCAGGGAGGGGACACTGAGTCACAGACTTGGAGACGGATGGAGACAGGAAGGAGGATGGGGAGCCAGGGAGAAGCTGAGCTGGGTGCTCCTCTCCTGGTTTTGGCAGTTGTGAGTTTGGACATGAACTTGGGCAAATTTCGGCAGATGGTGAGGGGCAGAGAAGCCTGGTGCGCTGTAGTCCATGGGGTCGCGAAGAGTCGGACATGACTGGAAGACGGAACAGCAACGATCCTAAGGATGCCTGGACCAGAAGTCCAGTGTCACTCTGAAAGTAAGGTTGACAACTGACGAGGTAGGTTTGTGGCAGGTGACGGGGGAGGATGATGTCATATTGGGTGGGGATGCCTGCTGAGGTGCTGCCAGGGTCCTGTTCTTCCAGCCATCCATCTCCTTGTAACTTGTCCCAGAACCAGAGGAACTTAAGGAAGTTGCACAAGGCTGTGGAAATAGGGGTCTTACTAGGCTGCAGAGGTGACGCGTCTAACTTGGGTTCTGTTCCCGTTACTTAGTTCTGGCTTGGACCTGACAAGGTAAACCAAAGTGGTCAGTGTTAGTGGTTGATATATTGAAATAGAAGATTCCATAATATTTGCAAAACTGTGGTTAAGAAAATGTTGTGTTTAAGGATACTGGGTTCAAATCCTGGGTCACCCATTAAACTGGTGGGAAACACGTTATATTTTAAACTCATCTATAAAATGGTAAGACTTAGGCCTACATCTTGAAGACATGTTGACCTGCGGTGAACATGTAGGTTGCTTCCCTGTTCTAGCTATTGTATATGGTGCTGCAGGACACTTTGGGGTCCACGTGTCTTTTTCAGTTCTGGTCTCCTCAGGGTATATGCCCAGTAGTGGGACTGCTGGGCCGTGTGGTGGTTTTATTCCTGGTCCTTAAACGAATCTCCATGCTGTTCTCCATAGTGGCTGTATCAGTTTACATTCCCACCAACAGTGCAAGAGGGCTCCCTTTTCTCCACACCCTCTCCAGCATTGATTGATTACAGGCTTTTTGATGATGGCCATTCTGATGGTGTGTGATGATCCCTTATTGCAGTTTTGATTTGCATTTCCCCTTGTTTTAATGCCAGCTCATTCAGGTCTCAGCTGAAGCACCCTCTTCAAGAAACCCACCCTGCTCACAAGTTGCTGCTTCCCTCCCCTGCCCCGCTGTCCCCTGTTCCAGTGGCTGCCCCTGCTTTCCCACACCAGATTGTGAACCTCTGGAGAATAGAGCCCTGAAGTCCATTGTCACATGTGTGTTTTGTAAATATTCCCCCCAGTTTGGAGGTTGCCTATCCATTTTCTTTATGGTATCTTCTGATGAGCAGAAGCTTTTAATTTTGCCGAGATCAATTTAGAACTTTTTTTTCTTTTTTGTTGCTTTCTGTGACTCGAGAGCCTTGTGCCTAGCCCAAGTCATGAAGGTATTCTTTCAATTTTTCCACTAAAAGCTGTACAGTCCAAGCTCCATCTCAAGTTAATACTTGTGTATGGTGGGTGGTGGTGGTCAAGGTTCTATTTTTTTTTTTTTTTGGTAAATGACTGTCTAGCTGTTCCAACACCATTTGTTAAAAAAGAATTTCCTTTCTCCATTGAATTGATTGGGGCCTTTCTTGACAACATAACGACTGTCTGAGCTCTCTCTTCTGTTACTGATTTGTTGCTAATACCAGACTGGATAAATGTAGTTTTTTTGTTTGTCTTCAAACAAAAGTAGTATAAATTCTCCAACTTGCTTATCTTTCTTAGAATTGCTTTCAGTGTTTATAGTTACATTGTATTTCAATATATAAATTTTAGAATTAGTTTGTCAATTTTTTTCTAACCTGGAATTAAAATTTTTAAAAAATTCTTACATATAGAACTTAAAATGCTTTTAGCCACTTTTATTTTTTAATTGAAGTATAGTTGATTTACCATGTTAATTTCTGCTGTACTGCAAAAGGGCTCAATTATACATATATATATTTTTAAAATACT